ATATTTAAAATAGAATTAGTTATGATATTTATTGAAATTTTTTTATTTATTTTGATGCATGATATTATTTTATATCAAAATTTATTATGACTTTTTACATATATGTCATTTGAAATATTGTTATTTCAAACATCATAATTTAATTTTATCAAATCAGCACGCGACACAGCATTGTGTTCTCCGCTATGTTTCCCTCAGTCACACCAAGCTTTAAGGGTATGTTTGGGGTAGCTGCAGCTGATTAAATAATCTGCTGATAAACTAGGTGAGATGACTATTAGAGATTTTTATTTTTTTTGAAAAAGTCAGACCGCTGCCAAAAAGCTGTCACCGACGTGAAAATGCTGCTTTCAGCGTTTTCAAAACGCAGTTTGCATAAACAGTCCAGATGCGTTTTCAAAACGCCACCGCACCAAATAAACTGCCCAAACAAACCCTAAGACAAGTGCTTATTTGGTAATATTAAATTTTATGGTGTGAGATAGGTAAATAACAATATATTGGGTGCTATATGTAAAAATCCTAATTTTAAAATATTATTAGGGGCTCTAACATACATATATCACCCAATTTCTATATATTTACTTATTTAACAACAAAATATTATATTTTATATTTATACCCTCCAAATATTTTGAAATATCATTATTTTAATTTTTAAAATGTGAATAATAGTTTTTTATGTAAAAATTGAACTTTTTGTAAATACATAATAATTGGGTGGTGTGCATGTAAATTTTCAATAATAGTAATATTTGGAATGAAAGATAGACTATTTATAAAATGAATTAATTCTATTTATTCTATGCACCAGATCAACAAAAATAATTTAATTTAAATAATATATAATAATAACAAATATTATATATAATAATAAGAATAATAATAATAATAATAATAATCTTATTAATTATTAATTTTGCAATTATAATTTGTTATGAGTTTATAGATTGGCTTGAATTATTAGAAAAAAATATTACATGGACTCCGCATGTAGAGTTACGTGCCGAGTACAATGAAATCATGTCACATGTAATATTTCCGGTAACACATCTAACACAGAGGAACATTCTCTCTGTGTTATCCAGGTGTTATTGTATGTTATTTATGTGTTATTGTGTTATGAGAATATTCTTGGTGTTATAATAACACAATAACACATCAATAACACTTGAATAACACACATTGATACCTAAATAACAAGGGAGGATATTCCCCTGTATTACTGGGTCAATTTTTTTGTAACAGTGTGGTGTGATTTCATTGGACTACGCACGGAACTCTAATTGCGGAGTCTTGATGTTATTAGTTTATATAATCTTTATTAATGTCAAATATATTGCTTGTTTTGATTTATTCCGACCAATCACAGATAATCTCTCCTATAATATTTACATACCTATCCCTCAATTTTTAAGTATTTACATATCAAGCACCTAAGCTTTCATTTTTACATAAATGTCATGCATGAAAAAGATTAAAAGATTATTCACTCCTTAGAAGCATGTTTTATGTGATATAAAAGATTTAGGTGGTATAAATGTAAAATGTCACGTTTAGGTGTTAGATATGTAAATAGATAGTAATAGGGGAGTATATATGTAAATGCCCCAATTTTTTTTGGTATTGTATATATAAATATATTATCTCCACATGTTATATTTAGTGCACGTCTTTTTCTGACTAGCTCTATTCGGTAATTTTGCAAAAATGTCCAAACAAAACTCCTATTTGCAAATGGCCCGCATCAATATTCGTGATAGCAACATTTAACGGCTCAGATGTGCTTTGTATGGAATTCCCTTGTTTTTCTCCACGTGCCTTTTAGCTCCTTGTCAACCTCATTAATTAAGAGCTCTAAAGTCTTCTCAAGCTTTTATTTTTACTTATTTGAGTTTCGTCACATGCATAATTATATATATATATATATATAATATATATATATTCTTAATGAAAGTCAAGAAATTAAATCCAAACAAACCTAATAATTTGGCTACTTATTGATATATAGATTTTGAGCAATGGAATATATCGGAGCGTGGAGCATCGGGTGGCGGTTAACTCTTCGGCGGAGCGGTTATCGATAGCCTTCTTCTACAACCCGCGTAGTGATTTATTATTGGGGCCATTGCCGGAACTCGTGAACGAAGATCAACCTGCAAGGTATCAGCCTATGACTTTTGATCAGTATCGGCTATACATGCGGAAACAAGGGCCCCGTGGCAAGTCCCATGTCGAGTCCCTGAAGGCCATCTAATCCTGTGTTTATACACGTAACGCAATAGTCGGAATTATTCTAAGTGTTCGGGTGTGTGGGGAGCATATATGTGACAAATCACAAGTAGACACGTGTTCTTATCGCTACTGTGACGTGTCCTCTTATGATTTGCCAGCCTATGATTTATTCGATATATATTCTAAGACTAACAAATTTGCATCCAATAATAATTTTTTTTTTTTATGGCGGCTTTTGTCCATAAGTGAAGTTGCAAATACAAATAAGAAAGAGGGTGAATTTGAAAAAATGAGGTGACTTTGTGTAGACTAATGTATCATTATCTAGTCATTCATGCACATCTCCTTGTTTTACAAGCATTATTTTTGAAGAGGAGGTCACGACAAATTGAATAAAATAATGGAGGTTTTTAATATTCTTCATGTTGCATTCACTCCCCCCAAATAAGTTAATACATGTTTAAAGTGGATAAGAGATTCTTTGTTTTTAATTGGGTTGTAAATATAGATTGGAAGATTTACATACATGTCCCTCAGTTCACGTGTATTTTACATATCTAACCCCAGAGTAATTTTGACATACGTGTCGCCTGACGTATGCATGGGAATCTGTATTTCATTTGTTAGAAGTTAAAATGGTGATATTTTTGATGTGATGCCAAAGATTTGGGCGGTGTAAATACATAAAGTGAAGATTGGAGGTTTGGTAAGTAATTATAGAAGAAGTGAGTGATATGTATGGGCATATAGTCAGACTTAACATCAGGCAAACCCATTTGAGCACTTGAATTTGAAGAGGGCATAAATATTTGAAGAATTATGTAGCTGTATCGAATGTGTAACACGAATGATAGTAGACTGAGATTACTATCTTCTAACAATCATTGCTCGACTGTTGTTGCTTGATCACCATCACCTGATTACTTTTGTAAAATCTCAATCGCTTGATCGCGACTAGCAACTTCCATCATCTAATAGTTGTGGTCGATCTATCATCGTCTCTGACAACTATCTTTTGACTAACATTGCTCAGCCTTTATCATTTGTCCACTAGCTATCATAGCGTTATCGAATCACTCTGTCGTTCTATTACGCTAGTCTGATCACCGTTACTCATTTGCCAGCCATCAGCGTCACACAGCCGTCGTCGCCTTACCTCCATCATTGTCACCTAATCATTTTTTTGACTATCATCATATAATATCACCCTAAATCACAATCTTTACGCCCATCACATTCACATTAATTAAAAAAAAAAAAAATCAAGCTAATGTTGAGTGTATTATTTTATATGCCCATCCTTATCAATTAAACGGATGAGCAGACCTTTATAATCTTAGCTATCATAGTAGATTATTTCATCTAAGCTTGGTTCTATAGTTTTTTCTCTTCTCTGGTTTTGCATGTAACAATTCAGATGACTCATACATTATTCTTCTTTACTGGTGTGTGTATGTGTGCAAAATCTTCAAGCAAAGCAAAGACAAAAAAATAAAATAAAATAAAATAAACTTATTTTGCCGTCATGAATTATTTTACGTGCAACACGCATGCATACGCTCTCTCTCTCTCTCTCTCTCTAACACACACACACACATGCATGTATGTGTGTATGTATGGCGAGCTTAAGAAGAATTCAACCCCATAGTGCTCACCATCCAAGTTAGGATTCTTGCTCAAAGAACACACAAAGGGCACCCACTATTAATCTAAAACTTACTTGAAATTCTTAACTAGTAGTTAACTAAAAGATAGACTAACTAACTATACACTTAGCTATGAAAATCCAAATCATATATCTTTTATGTAATTGCAGAATGCAACCAATTCTATAGCACTAATCTTGATTTTTATCAATAAAGATATGTTATTGATCAAGTGCATATGTCAATCAATCTTATAACTCTTTCTCATTTGAAGTCTCTCTTAGATTCCTTTATCATAATTATGTTTGCTCTATTTATCAAAAGAAATTTTTCTTTGACTTTTATTAACCAATTCATTTATGTGGATCATTTAGGCTTTACTTTTCTATTATCCTTTCAAGCCTTTGGCGATGTAAAAATGATTTAAGGATTGAGGTGGTGGTGAGAAGATTTTTGCCCTCCGATTTCTCGAAAGAGCAAATCTCGACACCCTTCGCCAAAGTCAGAGACGATTATGCCACACAATCCATGCATTTAAATCTAGTTACCTATGCGAGTGCATCGGGACGGGTGTGGCTCGCAATCGAACACGGATGTTTGCAAATGCTTGTATGTTTGATCACAATTTGCATGTAACATGTGCATGTGTTATTTCTGTCCGACCGACCGCCCCAGTTGACCAATCACTTAGATACGACCAGCTGCTCCGGCCCGATCGACCGACCACTTTGATCAAACCTGCAGTCCCGACCCGATCGACCTACCACTTCAGAAGGAACTTTACCGTAATCCGCTAGGTCCAACCCTTCAACATGAAAGTCAATAGGGGAGATTGTGTTGGTGCTGCATTGGGCACTAGGGCCTCAAAAAGCCTCAAGATTCTTTCTGAGATTAGGGCTGTAAACAAGCAGAGCTTGAGCGAACTCAGACTTGGCTTGTGTTCGGCTCGTTCGAAATAGCTCGTGTTCGAAATCGGCTCGTGTTCGAAATCGGTTCGTGAACAATGTGTTCGTGTTCGGCCCGATTAAAATATATGTATTCGTGTTCGGCTCGAAATTGGCTTGTTAAATTTAAATTGAGAAAAATAGATTTGAAGTGTGGGATTCAAACCTGGATCAGATATATACAAAAGAATGCACTAACCACATTGCCATATGAGGTGTTATGATTTAAACTTAGACATAAATTTATATAATATATTATTATATAAATAATATATGTAATATATTGTTATATAAATAGTTATATAATTCTTTTATTTCGAGCTAAAACGAGGCAAACACGAGCGAACAAGGAGCTGTTCGTGTTCGGCTCGTTCGACTCATTTACTTAACGAACGAGCTGAACACAAGCTACTTAATGAGCCGAACACGAGCTGTTCACGAACATCGAGCTTTTTTGACAGCCCTATATGAGACAATTCATGGTTTTATATTTGAGGATCTTCATATCTCTCTTTTCTTGGTTGGGTATGCCATGATCCTTGCCTTGAGGGGCTATCGTTTTGTAGGTTTTGTACACTTTTTAAGAGAGGCCTACGTTAGACATAAGATTACATGGGCTCATGTTAATGCGACATTTAACTTTCCGTGGGCCATTTTGACCACACTTGTCTTCCGGGTCATAAGATTTCTCCTACATTCACATTGAAGTATTATGGTGTACAGTTTCAAAATTAATAAAACCAAACAATAGAGCAATTGAAGTGCTACGGAGTGTCTTAGTATTTAGACACTTTTTATTTCTTCCCCTTTAGGTTCCGAGAAGGATTGTTCCACATTAATTTTTCTCATATGAATTTCTAAATAAGAAATCATGAATACTAAACTTTTAAATTCTTACAAACATAACGTCAACCCTAATAAAGTGTTTTCTTAAAAAAGTTTTCCTCTCAAGATGTAATTAACTATAAGAGTTTGTCAATATAGAAAGTTAATATATTATTTAACAAATTTACCCCTAAATGCTAACCCCAAAATTTGTTCTTCTCATTTGAAATTCTATTTTTGCTACTACCTATATATGTCATTGAAACTATGCCACCTTCAATTGTCTCCATCAACTTTAATGGCCTAACAACAGTCCCTAATGTCAATATCACTAACCCACTAAATTTGTGCATATTTTATCTATCTAAATTTTGAGTAATTCCATCAACATGCATTCATGATTTGCCTTAATAATTCAACCCCTTTGTCTTCTATCCTAATGATCATGCATGCTCCATATCACCCATAAATAAAATTTAGGAAGACTTGCATACATACCCCTCACTTTCTAAGAAATTACATATCTAACTCCTTACGTGTGAGGCTTGTATTCAAGTTTGTGAATTATTTATATCATGTAATAGACATAAATATTAACTATATTACATGCATGATTGATATGTAGGTCTTGCTATATTTTATAAATGAGTTACTTTTATTTAATTATTTATTAAGCCTTATTTATTTCTTATTTTGTTTTATTAGGCAATGTTGGTCTTTCTTAATAGGAAGCATGAGAACAAGCCACTTCGGACTCATGCCGGAAAACTAATAGATAATATAAAAAAAGAGGAAGATTTGCATATATACCCCTCAATGCTTATGTACTTACATATCTGACCCTTATGCCACCTTACCTATGCATGAAAAGTTGAATTTTACCCTATTTTTTTTAAGTTTAAGTAGTGGTATTATTTTTGTAAGATGAAAATTCTTTATGATATAAATGTAAAAAGTAGAATTTAGAGGTTGGATATGTAAATGCATAGGAATTAAGTATGTATATATTATTTCCTCTTAAAGTTAGCCAAACAAACTTTAGTGACATTCCTTAAACAACAACACAGGAACAAAGGTTGATATGAACTCGGTTGTAAGCAAGTTTGAGTTTGAGCGAGCCTAATGCTTGTTCATATTCAATTTGTTTAAAGTTTTTTTTTGTTCAAACAAGACTCGTGTTTGAAATGGCTCATGAATTACATGTTCTAATTCGACTCAAATCAAAGTTATTAGTTCATGTCAACTACAAGAACACACAGATAAGTGTGACTCTTAGGAACCATATATCAACTTTCATAGGCTTCTATTGGAATATTGATGTAATCACTTGTAGCATTGTGGAATGAGTAATAGATTCATATTTATGGTAATCTTCATCAGCTATAGCCTTTAGCCTAACCCAAGGTGACCCATTACCCAAGACCTTTCCTGGGGAAAATTTGCCTTAGTATAAACCAGGTCGAATAAGTTTATATTACTCCATCATAGACACATAGTTCTTAAGGGATTAGTTAATACCTTGGATAGTTAATTAGAGGGTCAAATAAACTCCAAATTTGATATACCTACAGTCAAATATAGAATCTCGGTGAGAGAAATCCAATGAGCCCAAGATCACTCATTTTTTATGCCATTACGCCCGTCAAATTATAAAAGCACTATGATTAAGGGTGATCACTATGAGTCGTCTGATTAGTTGATTACACGATTTACTTGCCAAATGACTAATATGTACTTCCCTACGGGCTATAAATTTATCCCCTCCCTTCACTTGAAGGGGAGGGGAATGAGTCAAATTCTAGTGTTGTTCTGGGCTGAAGACCTGACAATAACTTCCAACCTCTATAACCACCGACCACCATCAAACATCATTGACCGCCCCTTGGTTTCCATTGTTGGGGAACTCTATTTGCTTACAAAGTATCTCAAGTATAGTGTAATGAAGTATCGTGAATATGGTTTGATGAAGTACTCAAATATGTTATAAGGAAGTATCTCAGATACGGTGCAATGAATAACATTATTGAAGATCCAAAGATAACATCCCACAGTAATGGCTTATGAATAATGTATTCACAACGTGTTGACTTTCTTCAAACTTTTGAAAAATTTTATATATCATATATAACAAATGTTGTCTCTATCGCAAAATAATAAACTCAAGAGAAGGGTTACAACCACCAACCGGTGAAGGACCCATTACGACCTATGTGGTCAGTTACTATAGTATCTTCCCACTACAGCTTACATGGCTAACTGCCATCATTACAACCTTCCACTATAGCCGATGTGGTCAATCGTTGCTCTTACAGGGGCCCACTACAACCTATGTGGTCAATTACTACAATAACTTTCCATCACAGCCTATGTGGTTAATTGTTGTCTTTGCAACCATCCAACTTAACCTCTATCACCAATTGACGCTCTTGTAGTGACCGAATATGACCTATGTAACCAGTTACTACTCTGACTTCTTACTATGGTCTACATAGTCTACTGTTATCATTACAGCCTTCCACTACAACATTTGCAGCTAACTAACATTCTTGCAACAACTTGTTATGACATATGTGGTCAGTTACTACTCTAGCTATCCATTACAGCCTACGTGGCTAATGACTGTCAATACAACCTTCAACTACGATCTCTGTGACCAATCGATACTCTTTTAGTCACCAACTACGATCCATGTGGCTAAATTTTGTCATTACAACTTTCCACTAAGACCTATGTGATAGTTTCCCATTATGGCTTATATTACCAACAAACACTCTTGCAGCTACCAACTATAGCCTATGTGGTCAATTAATTCTATAACTTCTTAATATAGCCTGTGTGGCCAACTGACGCTCTTACAATGTCTTACTACGACCTACGTGGCCAATTACTACTGTAGATACCCACTATGATTTATGTGACTAACTATTATCATTACATCCTTCCATTATGACATATGTAACGAAATAATACAACTTCCCATTATAGCCAGTGGCTAACTAATGCTCTTGCAATTATCAATTATGGCTTATGTGGTCAATTACTTATGTAACTTTCTGTTATGGTCTTTATTGCCAACTAACACTTTTGTAGCTACCAATTGCGGCCTATGTGATCAATTGCTATTATAATTTCCCACTACGACCTTGTGGCCAACTAACATTACTGCAACTACCAACCACGATCTATGTGACCAACTATAGCTATATGACCAACAACTACTACAACTTTCAAATATGGCCTCCCCAATCAACTGCCATTATTGTTGTCTCCAACAATGACATTGATGGCCAACAAAAGTTATCTCGACCACCAACTCCAGCCTTTATGGCAAACTATTGCATTTGTAGCAACCAACTGCAGTATTTGTGACCTGCTATTGTCATTATCACCAAGAGAAATATATGTTGTAGCCCAATTACAATTTTTAAAGCTGGATGACTATTGTACATATGTAATTATCAGCATTGTAATTCTATCTTCTCTAATTCAGAAGAAGAGTGAACCAATGGACTTACAAGGATACAGTGGATTGCTTTGACTCAACTAAGTCATGTGATTTTTTTTCTCTTTCTAGGGTTTTCCACGTAGAAAACCTTGATGGCTCCTCCTTCAACCTTTCTATTGTCCATGTGTGTGGTGAATTTTTGTACAATATTTATACATTAAATTATCACTTTGTCACCGCAAATCTTCTGGCACATAACATACCCTACCTAATTGGATCCTTCTTGATCTGGGTCTCATTTATGAAATAGATTACACCATTGAAATAATTCACATATACTATTCAATACATTTGCCGTTTCAAAATGGGACCCCTTTAGAGAGAGAGAAAGAGAGAGAGAAAATGACGGCAACGATGGCGATTGAATAGTAATTAAATAAATAAAGTAGAGAAATTTACATACAATTCTTATGTATCTACCATCTAAAATTTGATTTTTACACATATAACTCTTTGGTGTCACAAACTCGTACTGGAAAAATGTATTTCACTAATAAAGAAATAGTGAAGATGATGTTTCATTTGTGATGTTAAAAATTTGATTGGTATGCATATAAACACGAATGCATGGGTTTTAGATATGAATTAAATACATAAGAATTGTTTGGTGGGTTTGTAAAGAGAGTGTTCAATTTGTAAATAGTAATATTTTAGGTGCTCTATATCTAATTTCCCAAAGTATAAAATCACAGAAAAAGAAGAAATAGACACAATAACATCATTAGCACATAAACTCCAAAACTATAAAGTATGTGGAGCCACATCAATCTTTCATGTGATCATCATCATCATAGTCATCACTTTTGTCTCCATTGTTTTGGGACTAAAAGACACTAATTGAATTTCAATTCAATCCACTTCATTTGGGAAGTGGCATCGAATCATTTTATCTTATAAAAATGAGTTATGAGGACAAGTGGTCCCTAAAATAATTAGCACTTTAAAGAATATTTACTCCAATCGCCAAATTAATAGTATATTATATTTAGTGGAATAACTATAAAGTTCTTTAATCATTCAAGTGATATTTATTATTATTTTTTTAATTATATGAAAAAAAGTTTTATACTTAATTCCACCATGCCGAGACCTTCTAATGTGCATATGTTACTCTTCTGCCCGAATTCTCTCCCTCCCTCTGTCTCTATCTCTCTCTCTAAAATGAATCTTGATGAGGTGATACATTTATTTGATTTTACTTTAATGTAACACACAATAAAATCATGAGGCATTACATGGATCTCGATACGATTTTTGCGTTTGAAATGTTTAAACTTTAATAAAAAAGTCATGTAGAACTTCGATTTTAGCAAATTTATAGTTAAACTGACTAGCAATCAAGCCTCTAAACTACTTTTGAAAGATTTTTGGACATAATTGAAGGTCAGACAGACTCTGAATCTGACAAGCATATAGTCAAATCGATCATCTAAACAAAACGAATCGAACGAGTTCAAGATCGCTCAATTCCAACATCAATAAGACACTTAAATGACTATTGAATGTTGTCCGATCACGATGATCTATCTGGGCTACGCTATCAAGAGTAGTTTGGATATCTTCTTTATTTGTAACCTGAACTCTATAAATAGATCCCCACCTCTTTCATTAGAGAGATAGTTCCTCGACTAAAGGAATACCTAAGCCTATAGAAGAGTGAGTTGCAATCCATCATTTTACACCACAGATCAGGCCAACTCCAACAATCGCTGCCTTCAACCTCTACGACCAACTACAACTGTCATCGCCTTCAACCTCAACCACCCTTGCCTCTATCAACCACCACCACTATATCACCCCCCGCCACTTCTGGCTATCATCTCCGGCTCCAGTTGGCCCAGCCTCTGGCCAACTCTGGTCGCCACCCCCTCTAGCCACCACCATAGCTTTTGACCACTGCAACCTCTTCCAACCACTATCGCTTCTAGCCTGCAGCCTCTAGTCATTGTTGCTGCCATTTATGGCCTTCGTAGTCACTGTTGCCACCTCCAACCAACTGTAGCTGTCACCATAGCCTCCCACCTCCAACCACTGCCACATTTGGCCAACTCAGACCACCACCCATCGACCACTATTGGTCGTCTGCTCCCTGCCGCGGGGCAACATGTTCTATCCACAAATGTAACATGAGAAACTATGCGACCATTTCCCACCTATGAATCAACAAGTTAAACTTGTAATCATAAACTCATAATTAGATGTTTTAACTGAACAACACCCCATGATTTTTTCACTTTCAATGCTTTTCACATAAAAACTTTTGGTGTTCATATTAATTTTCTTTCATCTGAGTGTGCATTGGATCCTCGTAATAAAATTTTGAGAGCATTTTATAAATAGATAATTCATGCTTCACCTAGTCCCATAACTTCTTATTTACATGTAAATTTTTTAATGTCAGAACACAAATATCATAATTATTTTTTTAAGATAAAATTCATTTTTTCATGCATAATCTTGTAAATTAAACATGAAAATTCAGATATCTCATATAAAACATATTTAATATATTATAACTCAATTAATTATTTTTAAAAAATTAAAATATAAAACAACAAAAAATTTGCACTAAACAACTATATTTTTAAAATGACCTGTTTACATACAAAACACCCGAAACATTATTATTTACAAATCCAACACCCTCTTGCATCCATTTTTCTCCATTTTTCAAATTCTATTCAAATTCTAACTCAAATATCAAAATTAATGATAAAACCCCAACCCATATTTTTCATTTATATCAAATTCCCAATTGGTCGTGACGCAAGTAAATATTACTTTTGAGTGCTAAATTTTATAAATAATAATATTTCGGGGGTGCCATATTATATGTAATTATCCCTAAAATAAAAGCAATTTAGAGTAAACTCACAGAATAAGACCCCAAACACTGAAAGGCCAAAGCTAATGAATCTATTTATATGGACATTGAGATGAAGTTGACAAAAGCCAAAAACAGAACCCAAAATACAGTATTATTGAGTTGCTTCAGGTGCTGGATCAACAGCAGAGGCTAGCCGTGTCGGCGGCGGCGGCGGCGGGAGTTTGACTCGGCGGTTGTGCCTGACCAGATGTTTGCGAAACCGGACCGGACCTTTGGGGATCATTCGCCAGTCCGAGAACCACTAGAGATGATCTAAACAAAGATGGAAACCAATTATGTCAAGTGTAAATAGTTGGAAAAATAGATGTATTTACATGCATACCACTAGAGTTTTATATGTTTTAGTATGTAACGCCTAAATTTTGATTTTTTTTACCTTTATACCACAGATCTTTCATATGACTTCAAAAATACCATTTTCATGTATGTAAAAATAGAAGATCAGGTGTTAGATGTGTAAATACTAAAGAATTGAGTGGTATGTACATAAATCTTCTATCAAAATGAAGTTATCAGTAGGGCTGTTAAAAAAAACTCCTTCGTGAACGTCTCATGTTTGGCACGCTAAATAGCTTGAGTTCGATTCATTCCTTAAGTGAGTTAATCACAAATAAACTTTTGTTCGTGATTATTTAAGCTCATTTTGACTCAAATTAATTAAATAATTAAATACGTAATATTATTCTAACATTTTTATATTGATTTTTTGTGTTGTATTAAAAGAAAAAAAAGTAAAATTTAATTATTTTTAAATCATTTGAGCTAATCTAGAGTGAACAAAAGCTGAAATGAATAAATGAACACGAACATCATATTCATGATCCATTTCAAACATAAAGCTTATTTCGAGCCAAAATAATTTATCATGAGCATAACACAAACAAACATTGGGCTTGCTCAGAAGCTGGGCTCGTTTGCAAGTTATCAGTAAATGGAGAGCAAGAGATTGTTGAAACCTGGGTAGAGTTGATCTTATGTTTGGTTGATTGGCATGCTCTTTCAATGGAGATTTCAGCACTGGATTCTTATTCAAGGCAATCTCAAGCTGTGCTGCTGGCAACTGGAAGACAAAAGATTTGCAGGGTTATAAGCAGATTGGAACCAAACTTTGCATGTTATTGCACTCATAACCATGATGGCAAAACAAAGGAAGATTTACAGACATACCACTCGATCCTTATGCATTTACATATCTAATATCTAAACATTAGTTTTAGGTACATACCCACCTTCCCTGTGCATGAAAAGGTGCATTTCACTTTTTAAAAGTTAAAATGGTGGTATTTTTGATGAGATGTGAAAGATTTGGGCGGTATAAATGTAAGAAATAGAGTTTAAGTGTCAGATATGTAAATACATAGGAGTTGGGCAGTATGCATGTAAATTTATTCAATGAAGAATGATAATTTCCCCAAAAACAAATCATTTGAAAAGAATATGCTGAATACTATTAGCCTATGTAAAATTAGGATGAAACAAACAAATCAGATTAAAACCTGCTCATATTTCAGTTTCTAAGGAATTATTAAATGTAAATAACTAGATAAACTTTATGAGAACATATATCTAAATGAAAGTTTTACATACATATCACTCAATTCTTATGTATTTACATATCTAATACCTAAACTTAAATTTTTACGGCCATCTTACCTATGCATGAAAAGGTGCGTCTAACTTTTTAAAAGTTAAAATGATGGTATTTTTAATTTGATAAGAAAGATTGGGTCGTATATATATAAAAAGGTAAAGATTAGGTGTTAGATATGTAAATACATAGGAATTGGGTGGTATGTATGTAAATATGCTTCAATGAAGAAAGATGAATTCCCCAAACAAATCATTTGAAAACAATATGCTGAATACTATTAGCTAGGGGTACTTAACTATTTGATATATTATTTTCCGAACACGAGCGAGCTCAGGCTTAGAGCCGAACACTAGTAAGCCCAGGTTTAACTCGTGTTCGGCTCTTTTATATTTCGAGCTCACAAAGTCTATTCGTGTTCACTGTTCACGAACAAAGAGTAGTTTTGACAACCCTAATCACATAGCCATAAGACATTCAGAATTGGAGCAAGATTTAAAACATCATTTGAATCTAATTTAATAATTTTTATTCTATTTTTTTAATTAATGCTTTAATTGATTATAAATCTTTGTAGCCTTGTAATCAATTAATTTTTTTAAAAATACTATTCATCAAAGATATATATATATAAATATATATATATAAAATTGATTAGTAGTATTTCGAGCCAAAACGAGCCGAACACGAGCCGAACACGAGCTGTTCGCGAACAACGAGCCGTTTTGACAGCCCTACTATTAGCCTATGTCAAATTAGAATAAAATAATAAACAAATCAGATCAAAACCAGTTCATATTTCAGTTTCTAAAGAATTATTAAATGTAAATAACAAAATAAAATTTAGGTATAGATTACGCATCCCACAGGCAAATAGTTAATGTTAACTTTATAAGAATATATATCCACATGGAAGATTTACATACATACCACTTAATTCCTATGTATTTACATATCTAACACCTGAAATTCAATTTTTACATATATACGCCACCTTAACTATGATGATAAGGTGCATTTAACTTTTTAAAAGTTAAAATGGTGATATTTTTTATGCATGTAAAAAAGTAAATACACATGAATTGGGTGGTACGTATGTAAATGCCCCTATGTACACATTCATCGAGTCAGCTTTTAGTCGAATTTGATTTGAATTAATCGAGTACGAACTGAGTTTTGAGATTCGGTCAACATTATCAGTCCTATATTTACATAAGGATAAAACAAAACAAACCTGCAACAGCACATTGAATGATTGAGGCTTTGTTTGGACAGCAAACTTTAAGAATCCAACCCACAACTTTGGATATTTCCATATCTGGTAAAAGCAGAAAAATGTAAATTCAATTTTAAGATAACTCAAAATGAAAAAAAAAGCTTGAATCACCCAGTAGAATCAAACAGCTAACCTGCTTGCTAACAAGCCGTGATAAAATTTCCATCACAAAATCCATCTACATAAGATACAGTAAAGCATTAGAAGATCGACAGGAATAGAATTAAATTGAGAGTACAAATTCACTTTTGTTTATTGTTTTTTTGTTTGTTTTTTTATTTTAAAAACATATTTGTTTAGTGCATTTTTTGTATTTTTTTATTTTTAATTTTTAGAAATACTCAAAACATATCTAAAATTATTTTGAGTGTTCTTAAAGAAAAATAAAACATGTTATATCATAGCAAATATGTTTTGTTTTAAATCAAAATAAAAATAAAACAAAATAAAAATAAAAAACAAAATCAAAAATTAAAATTTATCCCAGATGCCCACTCCCAAGTCAAATTAAAATTCGCACGCCATTAGCATACTTTCGATCTCTGAGTTGTTCTAATAAAAGTAAACAATAAGTCCACGAAATGCTTACCAAACCGGGGTAAACACCAATTGCTTGTATGACAGTTCTCATAAACAACAAAGGAAGAGGTATCTGCTCGACCTGGAAAAGATGCCTCACATGTTAATAATCAATCGAACAACACGAAGGGCTATAGAGCAACACGAGATCTCTAAACCATACCAATTGATTCAAAACCTTCGCCAAAACTTGTTGAGTAAACACTTGCCGCTGCTCAAAGCATGCCGAACAAGCATCCATAATCTGCAAAGCAAAGTTACAACATGTATTGAGAAATAAAAGGTAAGGCATAAAAAATGTACCTTTTAGAAGAGCTATTAATGAAAATAAGAGTAACGCGAAGGGTTTAATTGAGATCAATTTTGTTTTTTGCTTTATTTTTGCCTTTTCTTTTGTTTTTAAAAATATGTTTGTTTAGTGTGCTATTTCCATGTTTGTATTTTGGGACATTCACATACATAGCATAAAATTCTTATGTATTTACATATCTCTCACCTGAACTTTCATATTTACACGCATAGCACTCCACTCAAATGCACTCAAATCTTTAATATCACATAAAAAATAGCACCATTACCACTTTTTAAAAGTGAAGTACATCTTTTCATTCACGGAATTAAATCATCAAAATGTTGTATGTAAACATGAAAGTTTAGGAGTGAGATGTGTAAATACACAAGAATTGTGTGAAACATATGTAAACTGTCCTTTTAATTTTGGGTCTTGAAAACACTCAAAATAATTTTTTGGTATTTTAAGTGTTTTTAAAAACAATCATACTTTAATCAAATAACTAAATATGTTTTGCTTCAAATCAAAACATAAACAAGACAAAATAAATAAATAAAAAGGAAAAAAAAAAGATCCAAATCAACCCTAAAAAAATGTACCTTTTTTAATGGCACCCCATCTTTCTCAGAATCAATCCCATGTATAGAAATAAGTACTTCAGCAGGGGTCAGTGAATCACTAGATTGAGGTGAATCCTGAGAAATTTTAAATTATAGGATATGGCTATAAAGATAAGATAAATTGAAACTGATGCATAATTGGTATATAACAAAAAATAAGCAGATGGAAAAGGCTTCTACGAAGTGGCGATAAAATAAACTAGCAAAAACAACAAACTAATTTAACACATTTAAGAGGTTCCTGTTATGACAGTGATTTACACCAACAGCCTAAAACTAACCTCCTCCCCAATCAAAAATAAAAGGGCATTTGCATACATAGCACGCATTTCTTATATATTTACATATCTTACACCTAAACTTTTATACTTACACACAACACCAAAATCTTTAATATAAAACGAAGATACCCAATAGCCAGGAAAATTAAAATATGACAGAATCATGAATAATCTAACAGACACAAATGTTGATACAAAGCACAAAACTTATATTTCTAAAGCCTCTTTTGTGTCTAAATACTAAGAAGGGGTTTAATTGGAACTCGAGAAGACTAATGACATACTGATTCCCATGTGATTTTATCCATGAAATCCTAAATGGAAGAGGGATTCCCAAAAAATATGGACCTTCTTGACCAAAGAGAGAGCGCATACTTTATGTACATAAATATGATGCATACATTTACATCTATAATTGTGAAATACCAAATAAATGCAACCATTTAATTGCAATAGTGCACAAAAGCACAGTCGTGCACTCATGCATATTAATATATGTTAAGTAATCTGCATGACTTTCAAAAGGGGTATTTACATACATGTCACCCAATTCCAATGTTCCAATGTATTAACATGTCTAACACCTAAACTTTACTTTTTACAATTATACCATCCAAAATTTTTATATCACCTAAGAAAAACCACTACATAAATTTTTAAAAAGTGAAATACACCTTTGCATGCGTAGGCAATGTGGTATGTATGTAAAACTTGAAACCTGTGTTAGATATTTATATACATAGAAATTGAGTGGTATGTATGTAACTCTTCCTTTTCAAGAACATAAGCAGCTGACTAATTTAGAAGAGAAGTTGGATACCACGTATTGGAATAAATAAAAAAGTATTACATTTTTTAAATATCTAATACATTGTTTTTATAATTTAAAATAGAAAATAAAAAGTAGCATATTGAAATCAGCTCAGTGCACCAAAGTACATGGAAAATATCTAAATAGTTAAAAAGAAATCTCTAGAAATATCCACAATTCATAGTTACCAAAAATTAAAAATAAAAAAAATTATTGATCTATGCACGCAAAGAAAAGTAGGACTTTCATTACTCAACTTGATTTAATTTAGTTGATTTAACCCGCGTTTTTTTTCCTTTGTGCACGTGAGAGAGAAGAGGTCATAGCCCAAATAATTTGCAAAAATAATAATACTTTGTAGTTTTGTGCAAAAAGAGCTTTCTATAATGCCTAAATACTAATGTGTTGTCCATCAAATAAGCACTAAATCATTAATGTGTGGTGACTAAGATGCATTGGCACTTCAAAAAATTTGACATATCATGCCCGCCACATATCAGACTGATGTAAATGAAACTAAATTTGAAACTAATTAAAAATATTTAAAAATTTAATGTCAAATGTTGTACGATGTGGTGACTGAATTGTATACTTCTCGCAGATTGTTTTGTAATTTAAAGAATTTCTAATCATATTTGCCACCTATACCACTAAACATTCACATTTTCATTTTTTTCATGCCGTTATTAAGAATTCTTGCATAGAATCTTTTTCAGTTTTAGAATCTTGAATAATTGTTATTTATTATTTAAGAGAATTAAATCAGAATAGGTATAATTTATTCCTATTGTTTCCACCACCCACACCCACCAACCCATCCACAGACAAGAGAACATATATGCGCTTTTCATTTTTTTCTTTTTTTTTGGAGGCATTTACATACGTACCAGACAACTCTTATATATTTACATACCTACACCTAAACATTCAATTCAAATGTATACCACTCAAATTTTATATCACATAAAAAACACCACCATCACTATATTTTTTTAAGTGTAATACACTTTTTAATTCATAGACTTATGATACCAAGGTGTTATAAAAGCAGATATCAACTCAACTCTGGTCAGTAAAAATGACCAGCATATGCCACAAAAGCCAGAACAGCAGCGAAGGCAACATAGCAACAAGTCAAACAAGTTATCATCTTAGTGAAATGCAAAAGTAAATTTAGAAAAAGGGGCATTTACATACATACCACACAATTCTTATATATTTACATATCCAACAGCCAAACATTCATATTTATATGCATATCATTAAAATCTTTAATATCATATAAAAGTGAAATACACCTTTTTCATGCATAGGTTTATGACACCAAGGTGTTATAAGAGTAAATATCAAAATTTGGTTGTTATATATTTAAATACATAAAAATTGTGTGGTATCTCTGTAAATTTTCCTTAATAAAAATCACAATCTTTGCTATTTTACAAAAAGATACATATTCAAAACATCCATTCAAGGAAATCTAAAATTAAGGAAAGGAAAAGATGATCAGTACCTGAAGTAAACGAGTAAGAACAAACTGGAACTTATCCAATGGAAGATTAACAAGCTGAGGCATAAGAGGAAGAATCTATAGCACAAAAAACAAGTTCCATGATTTTAAAATATTTACAAATCCAAATTACAAAATGTAATTTTCAATTAAACAACATGCTGATAAGAAACATCCAACAGAAGAAATAAATAGTCAAGGACAGAATCCACGTAAAATAGCAGTAATAAAGCAAATTGAAGCAGTAACCAAATGCTTGAAAAGAAATTGCATTATGAGTTCTGGAGCAGATTTAGGAAATGGCTCAAGGTTCTTACAGTGATTTTAGTCCCTTCGGAAAAATACCGAAGATGCAAATTATGGTGAAAATTTTAGGTTTTGAACTGATTTTATGAAGCAATTGTCAAATTGCAAAAATTGTCAAATAGAGATCAACAATACACCCATTTTTTTTTAAACCGCATTGTTGCTGCACTACACACTCAATGTACTCACATTCAGGTATAACATGGCAGTAGTAATTGAAGTATTGAAGAAATCTTTAAACGAGGAGATTTTTTTGTACTTACGTTTTTTCTTATATTTGATGGATTTTCCATTTTATTTATTTACATTTTGTTTACTGGTTATGCTTTTTATAACAAAACTCAAGATTTTATTGGTTGTCTCAAGATTTTATAATGAATATATGAATGTAATAAAAGCTTTTATAGTTGTAGTAATGATTAACAAAATCCTATAGAATGAGCTTTTTTTCTAAAGGGACCGGAAATTTAGAGAAAGAATTATATTTTTGCTCGACAACTAATTACATCCTAATATATGTAATAGAGTGACCATCATACCGGTTCATAAATTTGGAAACTAGAAATATAAGAATCTATTAAAGGAAACAAATAAATATTAAAAGAAATTTTGATTGAAAAAATTAAAATTTTCCTAATAAAATATATAGGCCGGTTACTTACAACACTCCCATTCAAATTAGGTTTTATATATTATACAAACCAAGTTTGGAATTCAATGTGGCATGACTGACAAATGATAGTGATTTGGTGATAATATCAACAATATGAAGTTTTGTTGGAACGGAACTTAGTCGAACAATTCTATTGTTAACATTTTCTGAGATAAAATGTCCATCAATCTCAATATATTTTTTTCTATCATGGTGCACATGATTTTTGGCCATACTAATAGTTGCTTGACTATCATTGAACATCTTAATTTTGTCCCTTTTTTTCTCAATCTTAAGTTCCGTTAATAGCCTTTAAAGACCCATTCATTCACATATACTTAGTGTAATGGACGATTATGCACTGCTTAAAGAGACAACTTGTTTCTTGCTTCCTCAAGTGACGAGATTTCGCAAGTTGTATGAATATTACCTAATGGTTGATTTCCTATCAGTTACCTCTCCTGCCCAAATAGCATCTGTGTAAATTTCAATATCACATTTTTCAGACCTTGTGAAGAGCAAACAATATTTAGGAGTAATCTACAAGTATCTCAAAATTATGTTTATTGCTTTCAAATGGCCCTCACTTGGATTATTCATGTGCTGGCTTACTACACTAATTGAATATGCAATATCAAGTTTCGTATGCGATAGATAATGTTTAAAATTACGCAATTGAATATTGAGGCGTTTTCCATAGATGAGGCGAGGCATAAGCCCTGAGGCAGTCTGAAGCATAAGCCTCAGAATTTGAAAATTGTATGGACAAAATAAATAAGAAAGAAATATATAATGGCATCAAAACTTATAACAATATGAAAGGAAAATATATTAACATCATAATATGAAAAATTGTGTTAAATTGCAAAAAATATATAAGACATAAAAATAAGTTTAGCATAAAAATTTTTTCACTCATATTGCTTTAACATAATATCATGAATCATCCATTGTAAATAAGAAAACAAATAATCAAAAGTCCTCAAGGGGTTTTCATTGGAATCATCATCATAACATATAGCTTTATTTCCTATCTCTTCGTCAGTTGAGTCCAAGTTCTCCCAGTTTTCATCCTCTTCTTGAACACCAGTCATAGTTTTTTGTCCTATTCAGTTATAAACGATTAATCAATTAAAAAAATTGAAAAATTAACATTCAAGATAATGTCATATACTTCAATTTTAAAAATACATTTTTTTTTTGTCTCTTGTTGCTTAGTGTTGGATGTGCTACCTTTGCTCTTGTCACCCTCAGAGAAATCAACGTTCAGAACTTCTTGTTGTAACTCAACTAATGTGACCACATTATCCTCATCTAAAACCACTCATTATTAATGACAGCTTCACATAAAAGAGGATCCTTATCATCCTTCAATACTTTATTTTTACATCATCTTTAAGGTCATTAGACGATTTCTCCTTCTTGTATGCACTTGCCTATATGTGCTCCAATTACATTCACATCCAGATGATGAGCATTAAGTCCTAGCATTTTAATAAAAAAATGTTGGAGCTCTGAAATACCATCACCAAACTGAATCCGCCATTCAACCATATTTGAAAGAAAATTATGTAATTAAAAATTAAAATAATAGTACTTAGACACTCAATACTTGTTTCAATGGATTAAATATTAATTTTTTTTTACTAAAGAGTATTTTGTAATATTATCTTTAGTTTATTGTAGCCCAAAGAAACCTTATGTATTTCTAAATGAAAAAAGTTGCATATCAACATGTGCTCTCTCATTTGGGTCAGCAATTAATCTATCCATACAATGATATAGCCCCAACTTGATCTCACGATTTCTGAATTTGTTCTCAGCATATTGAAAGTGATTGTCGAAAAAATATCCAGCTGCATAAAAATGACAGTGGAGTTGAAGCTCCCATTTTTCATAAATAATATCCCAAATAACTCTATTAATGTGCAACATAATGTGTTCAGCATAAACATTCTCTTCTCCATCAATTTACTTAAGCTAATTTATAAACACTTGCATTATTTGTCACAATTTGAACTTACAAATGCTCTTTAATTTCATTTATCACTCTATCAAGTAGTTCAAAAATATATTATGTATCAATCATCTGTTCAGAAGTCTCTACAAATTTCAATACCCATTTTTAAGCCGAGAGCAGATGGAATTTTTAGAGTACTTCAGGAGCTGAACGACAATGCTTATTTAGATCGACCTGCCTGGAAATTACAACATTTCAACCACGTTCAACGTCACCAACATAACGTCATACTTCAAAGAGCTTGGAGCTTCGACAAATGAGGTCGAAGCTTCCACAACAGCGGGAGACTGATGCAGGCGCTTAGAAACAATGCTCAAATTCGGGTGCAGAATAGTGCCTCGAGCGGGGCACTTCGAAACAGTAGGGCCGAAGCCCCTTGAAATTGCGCGTTTAGAACAGATTTTCAATCCTAATTTTGGGCAAAAAATAAATAAATTTCAAGTTTAAAATTTTGTTTCAACAATTATTGTATAGGTCAAATTCTCAAGGTACAACGGAATAATTGAGTCATGCCCATCAATGGAGTCATAGAAGACAAGATATGGAATAACCATAACAATTAATAAATTTAATGTTAAAAAAAAACAAAGAGAAGTACAGGGGAATATCATAATTACCTCATCTTTTGAAAGAAATGATAAAATAGGAAAAAGAATTTCAACATCCTGAAATCGAAATAAACCAAATAAAATATCATGATAAACTTCAGCTAATTATCACTTTTGTAAAATAAGGAAGAAAATTCCACCCACCTTCAATTTGGTGTTGTATAACCTTCTAACAGAGGAAATCAATTCTTGAGAAGGAACTGTTCCATCGGTCAAAATCTGTAAAACCTGCATAATTGATATTAAAGAAAGTTTAATTTCTGTGGGAAAAAAAGGACAGTGTAAAAGTCAAAACCCAATCCAATTTATAAAGCACTTTCAATGCTATGCGTGCATGCGCACACACAAAATGAAGATTTACACGCAAACCACTCAATTCATATGTATGAACATATCTAACACCTAAACATCATATTTTTCATATCTATCCCACTTACCTATGCCTAAAAAGGTATATAAAAACGTATATTTCTCTTTTTAAAAGTTAAAATAGTAGTATTTTTTATGTAAAATAAAGTATTAGATGCTATTGATGTAAAAAGTAAAGTTTAAGTGTTAGATTATATTAGCACATAGGAATTAGGTGGAATGTATCTAAATGCCATAAAAAGAAAAAGGAAAGCCATCAACTTTCAAATTGACACATAGTTATAATAAACCAATTAGAACCTTAAAACAAATCAGGTATTTTTATATACTTTTGAACATTTGTAAACTCTTTTGTTTGCAATATAAAACCCAAACAAGAAGAACAGGTTTAGCAATCAGCCATGAAAATCCTCTTTATCCTATGGATACTTTTGCCCTACATAAAAATAATATTACCTCAAACTGTAAAAAAATATGATAAAACTCTTCTGCTCAAAACAAATTGTAAAATTTCATCACCAGTAAGGAAAACCCTGAAGTTTCACTTAAAGTTTTACATCTGAAAACTCGGAGAGGACCACAGAAATTACTTTTATTTAGAAGGAAATCATTGCAACAATATATCAAGATACAGATTTCTAACCAAGAATAGAAGTACAGTTTCACCACACTCAAGTAGATGCAAAAATTTTAAACTACTTCAAATTCTACAATCCATTTTTACTTCTTTTGCAAATGAATGCAATTATCATCAACAGATGCTACAAATAGAGCAAAAGTACAGCCCTAATCACAACTTAAAATTTTGTCACACTGCCTTTGGTGATTTTTTTTTGCATTTTACAAAAAAAAAAGAAAAAAAAAAGAAAAAAAAAAACACTATGTAGCCATTGAAGCCTGGAAAAGAAAAGGCTTTAAAAGAAAAACCTGCATAAGCAGAGTCTCGCTTCCAGGTGGAGGATCCAAGATGATGCTAAGGAGTTCGGGTGATGACCCAATTGTTCGAACCAATATGGGAATATGGCGATGAACTGCCTGTGCAATTCCAATAACAATCAAAATGAAAGTTGGTAAAGTACTTCTGTAAATAGCCAAAAAATTAAAAAAGAATAGAGCAAACCTCAAGGGCAGGCTTGGGAATACTTCTGTAAATAGCGAAAATTTGCCGGAGAAGGGAATGCTTCTGTTAAATATTAAATGAATATTAAAAAAAGAAATATAAAAATGATAAGCGGCATTTAAATACATACCACCAAATTCCTATGAATTTACATATCAAACACATAAACTTACTTTTTACATTTATATCTTTCATATCACATCAAACATACCACCATTTTCAATTTCAAAAAGTGAAATATAGCTTTTCATGCATAGGAAAGATGGTATGTATGTTAAAGTAGTGAAGTTTAGGTGTTCGATATGTAAATACATAGGGAATTGAGTGGTATGTATGTAAATTTTCCAAATGAAAATGCTTATATAAACGTTTCTATGACACAAATATTTAGATGGTACCTTAGTGCAAAGTGCAAAGTAAAGTGAGATACACTTTTGGGCTTCTGAAAAATAAGATGTAGCACTTTTAACTGAAAGACTATCAGGTGACACTCTGGTTGAGGGCATTTCCAAATCACTTTCCTGTGAATATTAGAGTATAATACAAATCTGTAATGAGAAAACAGATGTTACAAAATCATACAGCTACTAAAACTACATGAATTGAAAACATGGACTTAAGAATTTTGATTGAATGCGATAAAGAACTAAGAGTAATGTTTAAAGAGAAAATGATATATTTAAAAGGGTAGCTTGTGTGATTTTTCTTTGCAGAGGACTGCATTTACGTTTTTCCGGTAGGATATTTTTGTAATGTTGTGATTGTTGGTTTGTTAGACATGGTAGGCCATCAAGTTAAAGAAGAATGCCTCCATTTGATAGGAAAACCTCAAAGGAAATTGAAATCAGGGCGTCAAAAGTATTTGCACACCCATTTTAAAAAATTACTTCCTTAAACTCCATAACTTTCAATAGAAATGGTCAATAATAGAAAAGTACACCGCAAAATTGAGAAACTTGTGACACGTTGAAACAGGAGGAGCATAACATTGCAAAATTCCTGAATGATTTTAGGTCAATTAATCGCTAAAATAGTGCAACTTGAGCAATATTGGATTCTTTGTGACATCACCAAGCTAGCTAAAATGGTGGAAAGGCAACACCAAATTTCTAAGGATTTCCCATTAAAATCTATACACAAATCTTTTTCCATCTAATTAATCCCAAGCGGAAAATAACAGCAAGGAAAATACTTCCACAAACCATGCAATACTCACATCAAGTGATATAGGTGTTTGGGTTTAGCAAAATTGCATCAAGTTACCCCCCCCACCAAATCAATTGAGACACTTCGTTCATTGAACAAGCAACACGAGAAGATGGTGACAAAAAAAAAAAAAAACCATTAACTAAATGCAAGCACTTGTTATATGCAGATGAAGGCAAGTTGTTTTTGTTGAATGATTGTTGAATGCTGCCAACACGAAAGAAGGAAGATTTACATGCATACCACTCAATTCTTATTTATTTACATATCTAACATCTAAACTTCAATTTTTACATATATGCCACTTTACCTATGTATGAAAAGCTGTAATTCACATTTTAAAAGTTAAAAGTAGTATTTTTTATGTGATATGAAAGATTTGGGTGGTATAAATTTAAAAAGTGAAGTTTTGGTGTTAGATATGTAAATACATAATAAATTGGTGTAAATGCCCCATGAAAGAATAAAAATGGCTATTCCACAAAATAATCCACACCTAGTACATTGTCAAAAAGAAGGTATTGAAAAACAACATCAAAAGAGGAAGCTATGAGAATGTTTCAACCAAAATGGTTGTGAAGTTCGACCTTCCAATGCAAGAACAACCAAGACCTTACAAGACTTAGATGTGGAAGGGAAATGAAATCAAAGGGTGAAATGTGTTTGCTGAAGCTTTTCATTGGCAAGAAACTTCATGAAGAGAAAATGGTGTGATTTTATTCTAATGAATGGTAGTCATTTATTATTAGAGGCATTTACATGCATAGCACACAATTCTTATGTATTTACATACCTCACGCCTAAATTTCATATTTACACACACAACACTCAAATCTTTAATACCACATCAAAAATAGCACTATCACCACTTTTTAAGAGTAAAATGCACCTTTTCGTGCATAAGTTTGAAAACCAAAGAGCTATGTATGTAAATATGAAATTTTAGGTGCAAGATACATAAGAATTGTGTGCTACGTATGTAAATTTACTTTATTATTAACGAGATTGTGATAATACAACTGGCACAATATCTATAGTGGCTATAATAATACATTCACATTGGAGAGCGATGACAGCTGAGTGGTACTTATGCCACACAATGATTAAAATTTAAAAGGAACTATAGAGGTCATAGTGGCATTCAAATCCATGCCTATGAGTGTTTTGAAGGAAAATGAAAGAAGATGAATAAGATGCTAAAGGACGTCCAACTTTTGTTGCAACAATAACACAACATGTTTCATTCCGATATTCAATGGCATCTTGGTGTATAGTTGTACTTCGAAAAACATTAGCAGCACATCCAACAACTCTTCAGAGCATTTTATCACCATAAGTTGCATGTCAATACCAATAAATATCAATTATTGGCAAGGAAGATTAAATTTACGTTATCACTATTGAAAAAATCAAGATGTATAGAGAAAAACTCAAAGGTCAGCCTATTCAATATTTTGTTGATGTGCAGAGCTTCCATGGACTTACGTTGTACCGGTGCCGCATCAAAAAGATAAGTTCAACTACCTCCCCATTCATGAAACTACTAAAGGGGACAACTTCTTGTTGATGCATATAGCCCAATCTAGCTTTAAAGCTTATAAGACACTACTAAAATTTTTAATCATGGACGTGCAAAATTTCAATTGCATTTTTGAAGTCAAATATGATACCCCCAATATGAAATTGATGATGTTTTGAACTAAGATAGGCATCTAGTCGCATTTTTTGTGAGAAGCTAAATGAGGTATGCCACAAAGTCTCCACTTATGGAAAGACGTTATGTATCATTGTTCACAACAATCATTATCTTCTAGCTAGTGAGTTTATTTTATCTATAGATCATAAAGCACTCAATACCTTAACAGCCAAATCAAGCTTAAGGCATGCTATATGGGTTGAGTTCTTTTCCTCTTTCAATACACCTTGAAGCACAGATCAGGTGCTAAAATAAAGCCAACGATGCTCTTAGTCGTTGAAATACCTTCCTTGATGCTCTCTAGTCGAAGGACCTTGGTTTTGGGATGATAAAAAAACATTATCCCGATAATGAAAATTTTAACAAGTGCATCAAAAGTTAAGAAGGTACTTTAAGTATTTCCACCTTCAAGTTAGAGACCTACTTTTTGTACATGGTCATGCAACCAGCAATACTAGCTAATGAATGTTATCTTGCTTGAATGTCATGAATGAGGGCTCATAATTCAGCGTAGATGAGACAAGACCATTGCCCTAGTACAAAAAAAAAATTATTGAAATTTCATTCAAAAGGGCACAGATCAACTTGTCAAGAAATGTTGTATTTGCCATTTAGCCAAGTCAAGAAGCAACCGAATGAGGTTGCGTACATCTCGTTTGACGACTATATAACATGAGTATGAATTTTGTGGTAAAACTTCCAAAGATCTAGACACACAAGGATTCAATCATGATGGTGGTAGAATTTCCAAAGATGGTGCGTTTCATTTTGTGCCAGAAACCCCTAAACTAGAATACAACTGAACACTTAAACATCGAGGTGTCTTGCGGCGTAATGGTTGAAATTTCAACTAAAACTATAATTTAAGAGGCATGTGCGAAAAAATTACTATGAGAGGTGATCTCCTAAGAAGTTACATCAATAAGACAATTGTGACGCCGTTAGGTTAGAACAAACAATATTTTGACAATTGAGAGTTTGAGTTGTTACAAATAGTATCAGAGTGTTACACTAGCATGTAAATGGGAACTAAATGTAATGCAAATCAAAGTTCTACACCATAGGAGCTACCTCTAGAAATCTAAATGGGACAAATGTTATATGGTGGGAGTCATCTCTAGAATCTGTAGGTGCCACCTCTAGAGTCCAATATGTCTGGTTGTTGATTCTAGGTTCAGAGCACTACGAGAACGTCAATTGTTTAAGTAAGGGAGCTTGTAATATCTCCCAAGCAGAATGAAACTTAACTTTTAATTATTGAGGCACCTTTTGGCATTACAGATAGAATTTTAATAGAAAGTCCAAAGTTGCAGGAGTACCTTAAAATAGCTAACCTCCTAAGAAGTTACATCAATGGGACAATTGCAAATAATATCTCAAAGAACAAGAGTTCTAGTTGTTACATACAAAATGCGTGATGGTTCATATAACATCATTTTTTTAACTTAATTTACTGCCAAGAGATTGTCCGCTTACATGAAGTCCCTAAATATCACTTCTAAACTGGATGAAAATTTTTAAGCCACTTCTTAGAACTTTCTAAAATTTTTAGGAGACAAAAAAAAAAAAAAAAAAAAAAAAAAAAACTGAGCTCAATTCATCTGCAAACAGATGGATTAATCACAATTTATGAAATTTTCATGGTGCTTTCTTGGCAAAAATATTAAGCAATGGGGTATTACTCTACCAAACTATGTCTGCTTATAACAAGTCATCAGCAAAACTTTAGGTCATAGTCCATTTAAAAGTGGCGTATGGACAAATCATGTCACTCCTATAGAGTTTATAAAATTGGCAATTAATACAAAATTCAATTTGGATGCAAGTAAACAAGTCAATAAGATCAAGAAGCTCTATCAATAAGGAGAGGACACGATTATAAAAATGAAAATCTACCAACGTAAAGCAAACTAATCTCCCACTTTAACTTCATTTAAAGAAGGAGATCAAGTTTAGATTCACGTAAAAAAAGTTTTCCACACAATCCTACTGCAAAACGTAAAACATAAGGTTAAGAATCCTTTCCTAAACATATAGGACAGAATTGTAACGAGATTGACTTGTCAGGGGATACTAAGATATATGTAACCTTCAATATCACAGATCTTTCACTCTACTATGAACAAGAAGCTATAAAAGACTTAAGGACAATTCTTCTTCAACCTCAGTAGCATGAGATAGTTTAAAAAGGTCATTTTGTGTGTTTTTTCAACAGAACAAATCTCTCACCCTACTCTGTATTTTGCAACCCAAAGATTAAAAACACCAGAATTACAACTCAGCTCAGGCAGAAATATAGAGAAATCAAGGTGAAAACATTCCAAATCTTCTTGTTGTACCCAGCAGCCTTTATTTATGTTTTTACCACAAACTCGGCCAAGGCAGTAATGCGGAGGGTAGTTGTTCAGGGTTTAGGGTGTGTAAATTAGCTGAAGTACAGTTCTATATAAAACATTTGCAAACGATCCAAAATTATTAGGAGATATATTCACAATTTATTTTTAACTTTGCATAAACATACAAGACAATCACCTTTTGCAGGGTATGAGATGACTCATTGTCATTCGTATCATCCGGGCAAGAAATATCATCGAGAACTAAACGAAGCTTCTCCGAAGCAAAATCTTCAATCTTTTGAGAAATACCTGACAATGGAAACAACTTATTTGCAACCTGCAAGCAAAAGGTGTAGAAATAAAATATATAAATTTTCCACAGAAAAGAAACAGACCGATTCTGCTTTTTCACACTAAGAGAATAAAGGGCTCACCAAACGTATCGCCTTCATACGCACTTCATCCAAGTGATGAACGGCACTCTACAAAAAGGTGAAATATATGAAGAATTTGAGTACATGAAAAGAGCCAGCTAGCAATAATTAAAATATTAAGATCAAGTAAATGGTTCTAAAAATAGAATTGCTGAAACCATAAGGGGTAGATTGCAAAAATGAAGTGTCGGAACAGTATGGCAGAATGTCAATGCTTTTCTCACTAGACAATTTTAAACCTTCAGCCCTTTTACATAAAATAAGAAAAATCTTATATGGGAAGGACATCTGACGAGAGTGCGCACAGCTTTAGCAACCGTATATGCTTAACAGGAGTAATATTCACCGAAAACTAAAAAAGAATCAGCCTGCATAAGTTTATGAAAAGTTCTAATGTGATATATTTTACCAAAAGTATATTTATTCTAAGAATCATCAACCAATAATTTGTACTCATTTCAGGTATCCTAATAGAAATCATATTATAAATTGCATTTGAATAAATAAGGTCCACCCCAAATGTGCCTTCTAAAACAAGTGAGGACTAAATAGTACGAAAATAATTATTACTGCATGCCACAAATGCTCTGAACTGATAAAATGTAGGTAACAGCAAATTTGTCTAAATCAATTTCAGGATAATTATGCAAAACAAAATTATGGGGCATTTATATACATAGCACACAATTCCAATGTATTTACATATCTCATGCCCAAACTTTCATATTTACACACACAGTAATCAAATCTTTAATATCACATAAAAAATTACACTATTACCACTTTATATAAGTGAAATCCATCTTCTTATACATAGATTTAAAGCACCATATTGCCATATATGTAAATACGAAAATTTGGGTGTGAGATATGTAAATACATAGAATTGTGTGCTACATATGTAAATTTCCCTAAAGTTTAATACATCAGTGTGTTCTTGCATTAAATAAGAGGCGATCAAAAAAACAAAACGAAGAATCAATGATGAAATGTGCCAACAAAATCCATTATAACCCAAAAATCCTTACATAACAAACCTGCAAAACAATCTGAAGACATCTATCTCTGCTAGAAGGCCTGAGCAAAATTAAACTCCAAACAGCACTTAGGCCTTGGGTGACTCTATCACCATTCTGAAAATCAGTGTCCAGCTTCTCTTTGCTCTCAGGCGAGCACAGGCACTCTAACATCCTTAAAACACCTTCAGGTAGGTACGGCACTTCTGCAAGCAATCTACCGAGTGATTTATCCGAAGCAGAAAAGGTATCCCGAAGAGCTTCGGCCTACATCCAACATTTTAACTTAACAAAAGATTAGTAAATAGAATAGAAGTGCCATAATAGGGCCCTGATTGTTTACATAGGTCACTTTGGTCCCAAAGTTTATAGAAGTGTCAAATTAATCCCCAAACTATTTAAATTGGGGTAGAAGCAGACATTCGTGAAGACTATTTTAGCCCATATTAAAAAAGTTTGGAAACTAAATTAGCACTTCATAGACTCTAGGTCTAAAATGATCTCCTACATAAAGTCAAGGGACTATTTTGACACTTTTCTCGGCGTGGATAAATATTGAAAAGAATGGACTTGGCATGAACCACATTCAGCAGAAATGTTTCATAAACAGATGTAGCTGTCCTGGATGAAAGGAAATCCTGATCCTGTTCAGCCTCTTGATACAACCTGTATAGTACACGTAATGTCAACTCGTGTCCCTGAAGATATTTACGGTGTCAGTTACCACAATATCGCCCCAAATATTTTTTCCACAAAATACAATACAGGATGAGCTAAAGAACATTGGTTCTGCAGCAATTAAGAGAGTGACACACAGATTCGAGAATAAACAGAAAAAGCTTCCCAAAAGAACAATTTTAATAAAAAAATTTACAACTACGAAAAGTAATTTCACTATTATAAAGCCTTGTAAGAGTGTACCATCATGAATAAGCAATAAATTAATTAACAGAAACCATTAAAAAAAAATAGTTTGTACAAGATGTTGGCCAACTAAAATTTATTTCCATGTGATGAAATCATAAAAGATCTGGTTTATTGATTTAGTTGGAAATATAAGTTTCTCACATTGACAATTTTGTAGAATTTATGAAGTTAGGGTTAACTTTTGGTTTTCACGTGCTTTGCCATCTCAAGTTTTGAAACAAGTCTTGATTACGAACAAGTCTTGATTACGAACAAAGCAATTGAGAGAACTTCTGATGTAGCACAGAAATAAGAGATTAATGAAAGAGAGAATGGAAGGCAATCGTGTGGTAAAATCGATGGCATCCTCCACAAGTGTTGCGTGATCAAAATACCTTTATATTTCTTTGCATTTTCATGTAGTCTTTATATAGTCCTTCAAGTTTGTGTTTATTTCATGTGCCAATGTTATTTCACTTTTATTTTGTAATTGTGATAAAATTTAATAGTGAAAATGAGAATAGTTGTATGTATGTTGGAACAAATTCTTGCCACTTCACATGAAAATTTTATGCTTCAGCTGCATTCTCGCATGGGTCAAGCGCATCAAGTGCAATTTTATCATTTGTATGAAGCCTTAAATGACCATGAGGTGAGAATCGCATATATATTGTTTCCATGAAGATTTGGAGTGAGCTTAAAGTAGCTTCTCATTGAAAAATTAAAAATAACTTGTAGCAGTTCCTCCATGAAGTCACTTAACTTTGGCCCTATAAGGAGGTGAAAGATGAGACCAATATTTCATATTCTCCTAGTCATGTCCATGAGCAACAACAACAACAATAAGCCTTTATCCACATGAATTCTTTTTCTCCATTTCATCCTATTGAGTGTCCTTCCTATTTTTCCTCCTAATTAAGTTTCTTTCTTATTTTCATTTAATTCTAATAAATTAAAATCATTTTTTTAAACAATATGCCGAAGTCTTTTTAGGTCTACCTCTGACTTTCTTAATATAAGTCGAATCTAAACATCTACTCTCCTAACATCTACTCAAGTCGAATCTAAACATCTACTCTCCTAACCGGATCATCAGATGGTTGACGTTTAATGTGACTAAACCATCTAAGACTTGTCCACCAAATTTTGTCCACCACTGAAGCTACACCAACCCTATCACGAATATATTCATTTTGCATTTTATCTCTAAGTGTAAAGCCACTCATCTACCTAAGCATTCTCATCTCGGCAACACTTAGCTTTATGCTCCACTTTAAAGGCCAACATTCAGCGCCATAAAGCAATGAAGGTGTCATCATCTTATAAAATTTTACTTTCAGTCTAAGCGGTAATTTTCTATCACACAAGAGGCCTCAAGCATTCCTCCAATTGAATTCTACTAATAACATCCCCATCGATATCATCATCACTTTGAATAATAGACCCTAAACTCTAAACCCTAAACACTAAACCCTAAAACCCTAAAACCCTAAAATCCTAAACCCTAAACCCTAAACCGTAGACCCACCCCCATGAATCTATGTTGGCAAGAACAATGCTTAGAAAGCCTTAGTTATGCATTCTCCGCCAGTCAAGAATTCATGAGTAGATGATTGCATTATGTGATTCGACTTCAAAGAGACACATTGGGATATTTGCTAATTTAAGAGTCATTGGATCTCCTTAGCACTTATTTCATAGGTTATAATGTAAAAAGAGAGAAATGAGCAATAGTGGCCTGACGCAATAAAATTTAGGCAAAACAAAAAGAAAAGGGGGGAGAGAATAAGGAGAGAATCTTTCAAATAAATTCCTCATCCAACCTAATCCAAACAACATCCATAAACAACTTATGGAAAAAGGTCACGAGCATTTGTAAACAAATGCCTTGGTTCAAAAAAAAAGGAAAAAAAAGCACAAATGCATAATTAGAAAATACAACTTAATCTAAACACACAAGCACTATATTAAAAAATATAGAAAAAACGATAAAAAAAATTAAATTGGACTTAGTTCCAGTTGCCTACGGCTTAATATCAGAACCTTCAAGGTTGAAAGAAATCCCCTTCAAAGATTTTGATTTAACCTTCAAGGTTGAAAGAAATCCCCTTCAAAGATTTTGATTTAAAGCAATAGTGGCCAAACACGACATCAATTGTGTAATAATTGAAATTTGAAATAATTAAATAAAGTAATAATAATAAATATAAGAAATTAGGTTTTGGTTAGAGAAGACACACCTTCTCATATAAACAAATTAACGAAGGGAGAGGAGAAGAAATAGAAAAAGGATAAGTCAATGTGCTCTAATTCAAAAGAAGGGCGGAGGAAACCGTAACAGAAAAAGAAGAAGTCGAAGGAGGAGAACGTATCATAACTTGTTGATGACGCCACATCCGAGCGAAAGAAGGGAATTGACGACCAGCAAAGTCGTGTGCGAAAGAAGAAGCGCTTGTGCTTTTCGAGGGAAGGAGGAGCTGAGTCCTATCGCACGAGAAGAAGATGAACATCTAACTTGAAGAAAGAAGCAAACTTAGGCAGTGTTTGGCTGCATCATCAATTTACTTTATACAGGATTTGATAAATCTGAATTTATAAAATCCAGTTTGACAGAGAAAAACTTCGAAACCATGGTCAAAAATCCGTCTGCGACTCGTATTTAATAAATCTGAATTTACGTCAGGAATACGATGGAACAAGAGGAAAAGCAGACAAAACATGATAAAATTTGATTTAATGAAGCGTTGGATTTAAGGCTCTGAGTTTTTATATTTGGCTGGATTTAAGCTAAATTCATTGTTAAATCCGCCTATTAATAGGCTACCAAACACCGTTTTAGAGGAGTAAAGAGCAAGGAGCAAGAATGGTACAGGTCCTGGACTGCAAATTAAAAGTTTCTTTGCAAGAGACGTGTAGGGTGTAC